TTCGAAGGTTATCAGCTCAAATTGGGCAAAGCCTTGATATTGTTCTTGCTGTATTTTGGCTTCCCGTGCCTTGAAAGTTCGTCCAGAAGTGATGGCGCTCTCAGTTTGAAATAAAGGTTCAGGAATCAGTTGGCATAAGCCAAACTGCCTCGAAACGAAGTTTGGTTGGTAGGCAAAGAGAAAAATCTGGTTCTTGGCTGGAGTTATTCTTGAAGAAATGAGTCTAGGCAGCAAAAAAGCTCTCCATACATCCTGAATCTCCTTACTCTTGATAGCTTCTGAGAGAGCCATGGTGAACCAAGAAGGTCCATGAGCCCTCGAAGCAAAAGGCGCCATGCTCTCTTCGAACTTGTGCCTTTTGGAGAATATCATGATGTACTTCGAGAATTGGACTTTGAAGTCATCTTTGTCGTCATTGGGAGTTAATCTTCGAAGCCTAGTGCCTTCGACTATCCTATCATTTATCTCAGAATCTTGCTCATCAATGGTGTTGGCGGTTGATAAGGAGGGTTCGAACATGGCATTTAGCCATAGTTGAAGTAACCAAAAAGGGCCAGCCAACAGAATATTTTTGGAGGTGTGGGATTTGAGGCTCGAAACAGCTGACCTCAGGCTTTCATAAAGGTCAACTAAGAGCAGTTCACTTAGGCACACTTTTCGATTGTCATGCAAGTCCCTAGCTAGAGGAATGAACCTACTAGCTACCTGTAGGGATCTACTACAGAAAACGTATCTTGACAGCCACAAGGTTAAGAAAGCAATGTGCTCTACGTCAGATACATTGTCCCCCTCAGCATGGTAATGACTGATAAACTTGGAAAAACTGGCTAGCTTGACTTCGAAGTCAATCATGCTTGAATGTTCTTCGTTGTCGGGTATATAAGTTTCTCCCACTGGCGATAGCCCAGTGATGGCCGCTATGTCGAAGAAGGTTGGGGTGATCATTCCACCTGGGAGATGGAAAGTGTTATAGGTACTGTCCCAGAAATAAAGGGACGCGAATAGTAGAGGGTGGCTGTAGGTGAAACCAGACTTCGATAGCTTAATCAGGTTATAGATACCTAATTCTTCCCATTGCTGGGATTTCTTAGCTTCAACTTTCTTGAACCAATTTTGATAAGCAATATCAGAGGTGGGGCAAGATCGAAATGGCTTAAAATTACTTTTTACATAATCCAATACAAAGGGGTCCTTAGGAGGAACAGTTGGGTTTTCTATGGTATTTGAACTAGGAGATTCTACTGCCTTAGGGGCGTCCATTTTGTTAAATAAGGGTTTAAAACTATAACAAACTGGGAAAATCGTCCTGGTGTCTTTTAATATTTCAAAAACCGTAAGAGGGCCATTTAAAGCTAACCTCTTACCAGCAACATTGGTAGGAATGAGTACTTGTGACGCATACAACATTTCTTTTTCCTTTGAAATCATTTGAGGGGCAAGAACGGATTGACCTTGGTGAGTGATGATTTTACTTTCCATGGTAGCTCCTGCAGTTTTTCCTTTCTTCTTGGAGACTTTCTTGAGTTGGGATGAAGTAGAAGAAGACATTTTTGAAAGATGTTGAAAGCTTGGGTTTTTTGACGAGAGAAGGAGGGTAAAAGATTTAGAGTGTGAAAAGAAAAGAAAAAGATTAAGTTGGTGATGTTTTATAATGGGGAAGTTTAAGCACCCACTGAATAAGGGTGTGATACGTGGAAATCATGGGTTGGTGTGATGAAGAGGTGGCGTAAAGTTAACATGGGTAATAGGAGTGATTTAAATATAATCATTATTTGTAACTGCACCATACTGTGAAGTGGCTCCAGGCGGTTAAGGAATCCAAAAGGTGCTATGATTGACGTGACTGGAGTCAAATGCATTAAATGTTACGATGATTCGAAAGTCACATCAAAATCTTGTGTAGGTGTTTAAAATAGGTATTTCTCAGAGGAATCGAAATACATATTTTAAAGGGGCAATTTGTTGGCTGAAGATTTTGATAATGATATTAGAAGCCAAATGAATTAAACGTTTCGATCGAAATGAGGTAAAGAGCCATGTTTCGAAGTAGCAGAAGCAGTGTTTCGAATAAGTATGTCAAAGCTTGGAGCTTCGAGTGGCAATTATGGGAACATATCTAAAGAAGTCTCGAAATAACAACAAGGGTGTGTTTGGGAAGAGCGTTCGAAACAGAGAAGTACCAAAGCATTTGAAATTCAAATGGAAGCGGGACTTTCGAAGTTTGAAAGTTATGTGCTGGTGCATTTGGGGACACGTGGAAAGAAGAAAGAGGCATTGTCCTGCATGTTCTAAACGTGGCATAATCCTATAGCAAGACCGTTATGGTCGAATTAGTATAAATAGAAGTCTTAGTATTAGGATTTCGTGTGTCATATCTATTATACAAAATACTCAGTAACATTCAAACTACCACATGGCAAGGGAAACGAATGCAAGAGAAATGTATGTATGATAGCACCATGTATTTCTGATTTAATGAAAACCTTTTACCATTCCCATCACTTTCCTTTATCTTTTTGTCAAATAGCATTTACAAGTTTTCTCATTTACAATCTTTTCACTTCGAAATCTCTTCTTCAAAGTTTTACATTTTAATGCTTTCTTCACATTTCAAGCAATTTACATCTTAGAAAACTGTCATATTTTCCATACCTTTACCTTCAAGTTTTATCCTTCGAACGCATATTTTTACTTAAAGTCATTTACAGATTTCTTGCATTAAACGCTTTCTTCATATTTCAAACCTTTTATGTTCCAGAAATCCTTTACATTAACTGTTTTATGATTCGAAACCATTTACTTGACTTTTATGCAATTTTACATGTCTTTACAATTAACATTTATTCATGCAACTTAGTTTCACACACACATTTTGATTACATCTTTAGACTTTTAGAGAGAGAAATCGAAATAAGCCAAACACTCAGATATCAACCATGAATATCTGTTCGATCGTGAGAGTAACCTTAATATCCAAGGAGTCCTAGGATCAATCTAGTCGATCCTGTGAGTTACCAGAGGGATTGAATAACAGTCAAAAAGATTATTCGATAGTTTGGAAGACTAGCGGTTGTTTACCATAAATCACTGGAAACAGAAAGTCAATTGAGGTATCAAAAGTCCAATTGTCCTTGAGAAAATCAAAATCCTAATTTAGAGGCTCAATGCTTAAGAGGTGAGCTTGTCTGATCAAACCCTTGAGAATCCTTGAACATTTGAGATCTTTTGTAAGAAATATCTTGAGAATAAAGAAGACAAATTTTGAATGTTCAAGGATTCTCAAGGGTTTGATCAAATTTTTGAATGTTTTGATTAATTTTGATCCTTGAAATTTAATGTTGATCAAAAAGTCAAAGTTTGACTTTTTGTGTATCAGTTGACTTTTCATCCGTTGATCAAATTTCAACTATCAATCCATTAATCTTGAGAAATGATTTGAGCCATGAAATTAGGTCAACATGTTGTGTTTGAGTCCTTTAGATTATTCTTCAAATCATTAGGTCATGTACTAGGTCAAAAATCATTGATCAATCATTCTTAGTCAAAACCTTAATTTTTATAATTTTGTCCCTTTGATGATTTGAGTGTTTTTCTTGAGGAATTATGATCAACCCTTGATCAAATGATGAATATAACTTCAAAATGTTGATGTTGGTCAAAAATCTTGAAGTTTGACTGTATATTGACTACAATTGACTTTTTTTACCCAATACAGTTGATTTTTAGTCATCTGAGCAATTGACTGAGCAAATTTATGATGTAAGACTTGAAATTTGGTATGGGCATTCTTGGAGACCTATAATGAACCATGAAAGTCAATTGAGGCACCAAAAGTCCAATTGTCCTTGAGAAAATCAAAATCCTAATTTAGAGGCTCAATGCTTAAGAGGTGAGCTTGTCTGATCAAACCCTTGAGAATCCTTGAACATTTGAGATCTTTTGTAAGAAATATTTTGAGAATAAAAAGGACAAATTTTGAGATACAATAAACCCTGTTAATCATCTCCAAAAAAAGAAAAATGATAGAATTTGAGTGAAAGATGTGACCTAAATTAGCTCTATCGAAACCCCATAATAGATACCATTATACTGATAAAAAAAATATAAGATGTGTGTCTCTTTTAAAAATATGATGGATAAGTTGAATCTATATTTTCAAAAAAGACACGAATAAATAATAACCATGACTTTCTCTTTATCTACTACACATCTTATCTCACGTTTTATCTTCTATAAGAAAAAAACCTTAAGGACAAGACAATACCTTCCTTCAAACAATTTTATGTCGTCGTATTTCCTTAAAAACGGTCGCAGAGCATCGCTACTTTAGCTACAACTTTTTATTTACGTTTATCTATATCTAGCTCAAAAACACACTTTTTCAAATCCAAATGATATTAAAGAAGTAGACCCAACCTAATTAAATTAATCCACAACCAAACAAAATTATAGTTGAGTCGAATCATGATTACTACCACCATTTGCAAATCGACACATGACAAAATAACACGATCCCAATATGGTTAATATAGCTTAATGCAGAATGAATGCCTGCCACGTCACCCTCTGGGCCGCAACAAACCCTCTTTTATTTTCTGTCTCCTCCATTCACAAACCTTGTCATAATTAATTATAATTATTTTTCACAACCTAAAAAAAAAAAAGACAAGAAGAAAAAGATAAAAAGAAAATAAATGAAGTGATTGGTAAATGGGTCCCACGTAACGGTGTTATTTGGGTTGTGCTTGTGGCTGTGGTGCGGTGTGATTTGGCCATTCCCTTCTTCCTGTTTCACTTTAGCATTTTCTACAGTGCGCACCGCTTCTTAACCTTCACCACCATTCTTCCATCTCCATCACTACGCTATTTCACTTCTTCGATCTCCAAAACCACTCAAATGCTTCATGGATTTGTGCTATTCGTGCTGTGAAAAACGCTTTTGATCGTGAAGAAACCTCGTTACGGATCTGCACTGAAAACTTCATCACTGTTTCAATCCAATGGCGGGAAGTAACCAACTCAACCCTAGCGATTCAAAGGTATACTGCTATTGAAATGGATTTAACGTATTTTTTGATGGAAAATTATGGAACTGTACGTTTTTTTTTGTTGATTTAGTGTTTTCCTTTTTCGCCATTGATTTTTTGTTGTTATCTTTGGGTGGGTATGCTGTTACCTCTTGTGTTACTTTTTTTTTTCTTCTGATTTTTTTAATGTATTTTTTATATTAATAAAATAGTTACTGTTGTCATTTGATATTCATCATGGTTGTAATAGTTTTGGGCTTTTAATTTGAATATTTATTTGTTTTTTTTATGGATTGCAGTTTGTAATAATAGTTATTATTATTGTTTGTTGGGTTGGATTGGATTGGATTGGATCATTTCCCTGTTTCTATCTTAAGACTGTGTCAATTTTTAGGGTTTGGTTATTTGGTAAATTTGATTTTTCAAAAATTAGATTTGTTTCATTTTAGGTTTATTTGACTTCTCTTCTAGATAATTTCTGATCATAGTGTATATTTTTTAATTAAATTAAATGAATTAAATAAATTTGATGCAGATGGTGGTTCCTTTGAACATGTGGGTTTTAATCTCGAATTTCAAGTTGGCATACAATCTTCTTCGTCGTCCTGATGGAACTTTCAACCGTGACTTGGCGGAGTTTCTTGATCGGAAAGTTCCGGCGAATGCAAACCCTGTGGATGGAGTGTTTTCTTTTGATGTGATTGTTGACAGGGAAACAAATCTTCTTACTCGAATTTATCGTCCCGTTGAGGGAGATGAAAGTGTGAACATTGTTGATCTTGAGAAGCCTGTTACCTCTGAGGTTGTGCCGGTTCTGATGTTCTTCCATGGAGGAAGTTTTGCGCATTCTTCAGCGAATAGTGCGATATATGATACTTTGTGCCGTCGATTGGTTGGTATTTGTAATGCTGTTGTTGTGTCTGTGAATTATAGGCGTGCACCGGAGAATAGGTACCCTTGTGCTTATGAAGATGGGTGGAAAGCTCTTAGATGGGTTAGTTCTAGAACTTGGCTGCAGAGTAAAAAGGATAACAAGGTTCAGATCTACATGGTTGGCGATAGCTCGGGCGGGAACATTGTGCACCATGTTGCTTTGAAAGGTATGGACTCTGGGATTCAGGTGTTGGGGAATATACTTCTGAACCCATTGTTTGGCGGGGAGGAAAGAACGGAATCTGAAAAGCGTCTTGATGGGAGGTACTTTGTTAGAGTGAAAGATAGAGACTGGTATTGGAGGGCTTTTCTTCCTGAAGGAGAAGACAGAGACCATCATGCGTGTAACCCTTTTGGTCCCAAGGGTCGAAGCCTTGAAGGGGTTGTGTTTCCTAAAAGCCTCGTCGTGGTTGCTGGTTTGGATCTTGTTCAGGATTGGCAATTGGGTTATGCAAAAGGGCTCGAGAAAGCTGGACAAAATGTGAAGTTGCTCTTTCTGGAGCAAGCGACAGTCGGGTTTTACTTGCTTCCGAATAATGAACACTTCTCTGCTTTGATGGATGAGATAAAACAATTTGTGAGCTCTGACTGTTGATAGGCTTAACTTTGCTACACATGAAGGGGTTTTAGAGAGGATTGTGTAGGTAATAGCTATGCCACTTCTTATTAACTGTTTTACATTTTGGCCACTTTTACTGTAGGACTTTGCTCCCCTGATTTAGGTACTTATATATGATATTAATTGTGTCTGTGAGAATGGTGTAATGTAATGTATGTAATCAGCATATAGCTATATTATGTTTTCTGGAACACACCATGAGGAAATTGGGTGTTTTCAGATAGGTGAAAGTTTTTTAGGACAAAAAAGGGGAGCTATGGCCATGTTTATGGGAACCACTAAAGTTGTGATTACCCACTTTGACTTTCAGCCAAAAAGAGGAGAGGAAGATATGGTTCTATTTCTGGGCTTCTGACCTTTTGATGGCCAATCAGTGGGGCTTGTCGTTGTATGGCAAGTGTTATATATATATATATCTATATATATGACTAATTTTGAAACTGTGATAGGGAAAGTATCAATCATATATGTTGGTGCTGTTTGATATATACAAATCTGCTATCTTAATATATGTGCTTTTAGTACTGTTTATCTTTTCTCTATATAGCTAATTTTACGTTCTCATGTTTTTAGTTGTCCTCCTAGTTTGGCAATGACAGTCTTTGCAAATGTAAATGGTTTTTCGTTTTTAACTTTTGGCTGTAATGGTAGGGTTTGTGTTGCGTTTTTGTATGTATGCATTAGATATTTTTCAGGGTTTTTCTATGTCATACAAGGTTAAATATTTTCTCTGAGATGCTTAGTATCTGAATAGTCTGTCAAATTAGTGAAGACGTTAATCTTAATTAGTTGACAAGATACATATAAAGTGTATGGACTACAGTCTACAGTCATGCAAGTTTGCTTAGGTGTGCTATTGCTGCCTCCAATAACCTTAATTATGTCTGCATCCGATCTCTCCTCATTTCCTAACGTCCCTACCACCTCTCCCTTTCTTCATCCCTTCTTCCCTCTTTTGCAACCCTACCTTTTTGTGTTAACCTTTCACTTTTCAACTTGGATAATCTCTTTTCACTTCCTCGGGATAGACAGAGGGTGGCAAGCATAGGGTTTGCTCCCTCCATTATATAAAGAGAGAAACAACAAAAATGAAATAAAAGTTGGTTAGTTGATATTAAAAAAGTTGCAACATTGCTTAATTTTTGAGAAGTAGAAAAATATGACTTTAATAAAGTAACTTAACAAGATGGTAATTAATTAAAAAATAATTAAATGAAAGGTAACAATAAAAATAGCTAAATGAATATGGGAAATTACCAAATCAACTCTATTTTAGATAAATTTGCTTCAATAACTTATCAACTATATATGTTAAGTTTAAGGTTTAAGAATGTTCAAATACATAATACGTGATTAACTTGAGTAATATCTGAAATTGAAATATTAGATGGTTCCATGATGATAATAATAATAATAATAACAATGTATGTTTAAAACATAAATATAGAAAAGATAAATAAACAATTTACATATAGTCATAGATCATTAAACAAAAAAAAAAACAAAAAAACAAAACTAAACTAAAGATTCTTATGTCATCTGACTGATCCCTAACTGCAAATATAGATTTTCAGTTTCAAACTTGTCATTTATACACCTACATTATTTAAGATTAATCAATGGCATATTAATAAATATAAAAATGAAAGTTATATAATCTTTATATAATTATTACCATCAAATACTTTTAGACTGTATATGCATAATAACAATTCTTTTTCTTCAAATAATTAATTTTTTAATTAAAATATTTAAATGATCAATATTCTCATTTATTTATTAAAATAACTCTGTTTTAAACAATAAAAAAATTCACATAAAAGAAGAGCCGCCACTGCTAGTTGCGTATGCACATAAAAATAAACTCAAATGACATTTTAATGGGCGCATGTAATATCTATGCGCCATATTGTCTGACGCATTTATTGTTGTCCTAAGAGGATGTATTATTCTCTCTGGCACATGCATGTTGGCCTAAGAAGAGGCGCCATTTCCTCTGACGTCTATGTTGTAGTATTTTTTATAAATAGGTCGTTCACTCTCCATCAATTGCCACCCTTCTTCTTTTCATTTCATTTCTAAAAATTTCTTCAAAAATGTTTCACATTACTAAAAGAAATGCTCATCTTTCTTATTCGCCACTAAATCCTCCGATGAAGATTCAACTTTGGAACATTGAGAATTTCGAGCATCTTGAGAGGAGTTTGATCTATTGGTTAGACGATGACATTCAAGATAGTGAAAAGATTAGAAAAATTGATAGGCTTGTTAAAACTGACGGTGACTGTAGTGTTATGATGTATGGATCATATGATATTGTCTTGATGGTTGTAATCTCCTAGATATGTTGTTGTATTTAGTTGTTTTATTTGTTTTTTGTGTTATTGTTTTACGTTCTTGTTTTGTTTTGTTGTAACCGGAAGTTATATTCGATATGAAATGAAAGTTGTATTCAATAAAAAATTTCATGGTTACAAAAAATAAATTACATATCAAGAGCACATACAATAATCATGTGGCGGAGCTTGCTCCAACATTGGGATGATTTTTTAGATTGTGTTCGGGTTGACAACATGTACTACATAATCTTACCATTTTGTTTATCGAATCCATTTCGATTTGAATACATGTGTTATTAGGGTAATCCTTTTTCTTCCTTTCACATATTTTCGTTATGCCAAACAATGTCTCTTTGATAAATAGGCTAATAATCCTCCTTTGCTACCACCGAGAAGCTATTGTTATACACATTGAATAGGTTTATGACTTTGTATACCGGAGATATATGTTTGTAAGGGTCCTGGCGAGCATATGAGCACGCCGCTATGACATGGGTATAAGGCATACATGAGGCTTGAAACTTTTCGTAATCGTACCAACCTCTATCTAGTTTGACCTGATAGTATCCCTTTGACCTCCCCTCATTATGGTCCATTGTCTCATGTGTACTAAACCAATCTTTATGACGGTCAAAAATTATAACCACATGTGTGTTAGCTTTGGTAGTTTCCTCCTTAATAAATTTCATACAACTTTCACTAAACATCTTGCCGATTTTGGGAATCTCCTTAACATAGTCTTATACCATGTTGATTACATATTTACCCTCACATTGCTAGAAAGACGGAGACCTGAGACACCCATATTTCATCTTCCTACTGGTGAATGTACTGTCACACTCGAGGACGTGTACATGTTATTGGATCTATGTATCAAATGTAAGGTTGTTAATGGTCGAGTTAACCAAGATAATGCAATATGCGAGCAACTTTTGAGTGCCGAATTATTTTTGAAAAAACGGCGAGGGGGAAAGGTATTAATCTAAATTACCTTAAAAAACATTATTCAGATATGATATTAATCGAAGATTCGGCCGAGAATGAAAAAATAATTAAAACTAGATGTTATATTATGATACTATTTGGCCACTTTTTATTTCCCGAAACTCTTGGTAATACTGTAAATATCATGTATTTACCTTTGTTAAGTGACATAACTAAAATAGGAACATATAGTTGGGATTCAGTCGTTTTGACCCATATGTATAGTTCTTTGTCTAAAAACGCATATAAGGATACTTGTTCATTTTATTCTTGCGCTTTTTTGTTTCAAGCATGGGGCTGTCGAGAATGCCGTCACTAGCCCCTGTAAACGAGAACAACTTCACATTCCCCTAAGCGACAAAGTAAGTTTATAACATTATTTCAAATTACTTACTTTATACTATAAATAACTACAAATAATTAACTTTCACTATTTTTACATAGGTGGTCCGTTCGAGGGATGAACTACAACAAATGTCCCAAATAACACAGTATCACAATCTTTTGGATCACCTTGGACCAGATTGCATATTACAACTAAACTACTCATAATCTTATTATGCTAGTTTTAATATTAACGATTTACTAATCTAATAATATATGTTTCCTCTGCAGTTTATCTAGAGGTCATATTTGGGTCTCAACCATGAGATTAACCCTAAAGATGTTACAGTTTGGACTACAAAATCATCGATCATCAGGTTCACTACTATCGAGATGCTCCACTATGACCGTGTCAAATTGCAGTTCAGCATGCAACAACAAATCCCTGAAGATCCAACGTGTTTAGACAATGGCATTAACTTAGAGTCGATGCCTAATGTAAGTTTGACGATTAGAGAGACTTTTCTAGGGATCACTGTCGAATGTGGAAGCATCGTCGTCGACTGGCCATATATAAACCAATCATGTCAGACCAATCTAAACCAACTCGAAATTATATGAATTGGTATAAATCGGTTACAACAACATAGTTTGTGTCTAATCCAAGGTATTCAATTGACCCATGCATATGAGCTTCATACGCCTAACATGACAACCAAAACACCTACATCCAACAACCAACAACCAACCCAACAAATTTTTAAATCCGCCTACACCCAACAACCAACCGTATAGCATTACCAAACCACATACACCCAAAAACCAACCAAACATGATTACCAAACGACATACACTCAAACCCACGACCAATTTATACCACACACATAAACACAAAACCAAGAACATGACTCATACTACCAACAAACGTATTCTGTCATCACATCTTACCATAGTACCAATGAGGGATATGATACCACCACATCTCCACTATAGCCCCCAACCAATGTTCACCCAGACACACCAAAGCACTCAAACATCACATCGCCAAAGCTTTCAACAAACACATGCCTATTAAACACCACAACAACCAATGCTTCATTTCCAAAACGAATCAATGTTCCAATTCAACCAATCATCCCTCCAATCTTTAACCCAACCAACATGACCCAACTACGAGAACATAGACACCGAACTCCATTACAACAACACAAGCTACTAGGGTGATATGATCAACAATTTGTTAGATAACATTAATATCCCAGGGACCTCACACTAAACACCCACTACTAAAAATAACGCTTCTAAGGCCGGACGTGAAAAGTGTTGTAC